ACCAGTAAATCCTCCCAGATATCACTCTGATCTCCCCTAAGGGTTGCTGGTGCTGCGCAAGGACTTGTTGCTGGGGTGTCGGTGGTGGTGGAGCCTTATTCTAGTTGTCATGGGCGACAAATCGTCGTAACTGTCCCCTCTGGATTAAAAACTCGATCTCCTTCTTTAGCTGAATGCAATCATCGGTATGATGGTCATGATCCCTATAATACTCGTAATATTTTGTAGGATCTCTTTTAGACGAATCTACCTTCATTTGTGGAGGCCACCTTAGAAATTTCTCATTTTGCACCTCGTAAAGGATCTAGGACACTATCGCAGTGAGAGAGGTATATTGCTAAGGTGCATACCTCGGCTGTAGTTCAGGCTGCGGGGAGACTAAGCGGTCCCTAATGTTCCCCCTTCTTTTTGGGGACCGCTCTTTGTCTCTTATGGGAGATCTATCTCTCTTTGGAGATCTGTTTCTTTCCCTCTCTCTCCTGGGACTTCGGTTTCTCTTTTTCTCTTCTTTTTCCTTGTCTCTTTGTGCGAAAGAGCTCCCTACCTTAGAAAGAAGAGCTTCTTCGCCGTTTATGTATTTTTTCGCTCTGGCAAGTACCTCGGCCATACTTGCTTGAGAATTTTTTGATATGGAGAACATCAAATCTTTAGACTGCATCCCTAGACCAGTTATGAAGGCAGTGATGGGGAACTTTTCATCTGGGACATCCACTTTTAACGACTTCGAATTAAATCTTTGGACATATGACCTGAGATTTTCTTGTGGTCCCTGTTTCACATTCAAAAGGTGATAACTCGACTTTCTATAGGTTCGAGCCCCTATGAAGTGGGATACAAAGGAAATGGAAAGCTCTTTGAAGGAAGGAATTAAGGCTGGGGGGAGTCTGTTAAACCACGTCAAGGTTGAACCCTTCAAAGTGATGGCAAAGGCTCGACAGCGTACGGGTCCTGATACCCATGTAATTCCATCTGGTTCTTATAAGTATTGAGGTGGTCCATGGGGTCCCTGGTTCCATCAAAGGACTCTATTTGTGGCATCTTGAACTTTGGTGGGAGGGGAAAATGCAACACCCCAAGTGTGAATGAAGATTCAGTTTGCTGTACCAAGGCGTCCATTGTAACTGGAGCTTTACTTCTGACCGCTTCCTTCATGTGGCTGAGCTTCTGTTGGATGCCCTTAAAGCGTTGCTCCCAATATTACTCCCTTCTCTCCTGCTGATAAGGGAAGACATCATTCTTTTCACCTTCATGATTTTGACTTTGTATTTCCTCATTTTGGCCGTTCCTAGGGGTAGTTGGGGAACCTGCCCCAAGGTCTGGCTGTTCTCCCCTCCTTCGTTGTCTTCTCTAAGTGGATTAAGGTATTGTTGATCCCTGTAATGGGGACTGTTCTGACCTTCTTGGGGCGGACGTGCCTCTTGTGGGCATTGTAAGAGCTTCAAGAGCTCCTCATTTGCTTTATCAAGCACTAATTAACGAGGCGAAGGGCCTCCATCTCATTATTTGTGGGAAGATTCCCCATGGGAGGATCAGTTTCTGGGACGTTCTCGGGCTGTCTGTCATTGGTGGCTCCCTATTGGTCCTGCATCCGAGATGGATTTGTTTGGCTTCTGCTTATGTTTCGTGTTGATACCATCAGTCATTGAAAGATCAGCTTATTTATAATAGGAACAGTCGTTCCCATAGACGGTGCCAAACTGATGGAGCAGACTAATGTGAGTGAACAGAGTGCGTGAGACCAATGGTAAAGTTAGGCTGCCAACTTTGTAATGGCAATAATGAAATGTTTTTTAGGGGATAGGAAAATTTGTACAGTAGGAATATAATGGTTCACCAGCTCTAGAGCTCGGCTAATCCACTCTTAAATGGATGTTCTTGCTCCTTTCCTTCTCTATTGATTATTTGAATGTAATATAAGACAGTGCATAATCCAATTAGGGTTCTTTTTTTTCATTCTCCCTCCTCGATGAGGCGTTACATAGTATTTATAAGGTTGCCCCCTATTCCGTGGGATTTCAGCCGAGATTTTTACCCATTATTCATGGAATTCTCCTTGATTTTAGGAGAGAATCTTGATTGGTTGAGAATTTCATGCATGAGACCCAATTTCTACAGTCATCTAGCTGTTTCCTGGTCGGTTAAGCTACAATCTCCCCAAGGGGAGCTCCACCCCTAGTTCTCTGAGTTCCTCGTATCTTTCTTTGACTTCCTGACCTGACCTGAGCTCACAGCTAGAGTTTATTTGAGGTATCATCAGAATTATTATGGAAAACATGTAATCAACAATTACTATCGTAAAATCAAGCATTTCTATATTCAATCACCAACCTCCATATTTATCTCCTTGTACCTAACGTCTTTAACTTTCCATAATAGACCAAACTAACACAGTTAAGATTATTTTTGAGATTAAAAAAATAGATTTAACTATTTATTAATAAGATTAAAAATAGACTTACCCCAAAAATAAGTTTCCTTAATGGACTCATATCACTATAAGTCCATCAAGGAGGACTCAACCCAATTTTCACTTTAAAGTTTTATAAACTTGAAATCTTAGTTTGAACTCCAATATTAGTTCAAGTGATAACAGAGACGTGTTGTAAATTCAGACGTCCTAAGTTTGAATTTTGACAATTTCTTGAAGTTAGGTCATTAGAGATTCATCTTTTATAAATACCTTAATCTCAACGTGGATGTTCTGTCTTTAATCGAACCTAAGAGAGAATTAGTCAAGATGCATATAAATTGATCCAAACACCTCGAATCGTTAAACAAAAAAAAAATGAAATCTTGGTTTGGACTATGAGACGTAGCAATTACAAATTATGGAACCTTGCTAAAAATGAGGTCTAAAATTCAGACTTTAATTACTTTAGATTTGAGCAGGTTTTAGTTGGGAGTTGGGGACAGTTTTTTAAGTGTTATAAATGTTGTGTCATAAATGCAGGAGTTTAGACCAGATTAGGTTCCCTTTTTTAAAAAAAAAAAAAAAATAAGTTTTCGTATTAAAGTTATGTGCCCTTTCTTATGTGATGGAATTATTTAATTGAGTCAAACATACTAATGACATTCTTATTTATTATATTGATTATAGGTGGTTAAACAATCCATGTTTCTTATTGTATGAGATTGGGGACTTTTTTATACTCTTTATCTTCTCATTACTTATTTCAGCATTTTGCGAATTGCTTCCTATTTGGTAACTAATTACTTTTTTTTTTTCTTGGTTCAGGCTAACCTCAAGGATGCCAAGATTCGATCTAATTACTAAATCTCATTGTATTAATTTTAGTCTTAATAAATAAAGAAAAGAACCCCCCCCCCCCCTTTTTTAGACACTATTACAAAAAAAAATAAAACGATAATGTTCAAATTCGTGATTTTAAAGTCTAATAGTAGGGACGGTGGCTATTAAGCCAACCACTAAAATTGACTTTACAGAATTAAAATCCAATGTTCTAAGTTTTTGGAATAACTTTTGGTCCTCCATCGAGAACAAAAAGAGGATAAAAAATAAAGAGTAAAAGATGTAACATTACAATAATATTGTTGTTATTAATTTCGCTTTTACACATTTAAAAATTTATTTTTATTATAGCAATGCTGCAACTACACATATTTAAAAAATTGACTTAATAATATACTCCATCCGTTCCTAAATACCTGTCGTTTTACATAATTTTTTTGTTTCATAATATCTGTCATTTTATGAAACTAAAGTATAATAAATATTTTTTTTTCCAAATTTATCTTTATCCCTATTTTTCAATAAGTGTTTAATAAATTAAATGTAGGTTAAGTGTGTTTCATATTCCTTTTCTTCTCAATACGTATTGAATAAGAGTATTTTAGTCTTGTGTAATTATTTTTTACTCATATTAGAGCTATTTAATAGCTTTCTTAATTCCTGTGTAAAAACTTTAAACGACAGATATTTAGGAACGGAGAGAGTAATTGTTATATTTATCATTCATTTAATTATGTGTCCCAATATTTATTGGAATACACTATCTATTTAATGATAGTAATTCATCAAATCAAGTTTTTAAATAAATTTTTTAAGTTTATTAATTTTTTTTTATTATTATGATAATATCAATTTTTTTATTCTTATTTTTAATTATATTTTTTTGTCTAGTATTATTTAAAAAATATTATTTTTAAATATATAAGCCATTAAATGTTGACCACGTCTAAGGTGTTTTTTAAAAAGAAAGGAAAAATATGAAAGTGGACATAACAATTTAAAAGTCATTTAATTGTCTGCCGGCTGTCCCGTTTCTGGGGGTGATAAGATTGATACTAGAAATTAGAGGTAACAAAAAAAATTTACTAACAAATTATTTACTAAAATTTTATATTCACGAATTTTTTTTTAAAATTTTAACAGCTCAAATTTTAATAAAATTTTATATAGAAAAATTACTTGAGGTTATGTAGGGGCATTTTTGGTATTTTAGTTAATTTTTTTTGTTGAAGGGGTGTCATTAAAAATTCAGAAACTATATGAGGTGTCTTTGAAAATATGATAAATTAGAAGATGTGTCCTTAAAATTTTCCTATAAATAAAGGTTAAACATGTAAAATAATGCGATCTATCAACAGTAATGCTCAGTTATCCGACAATTGGGGTGTCAATAATACTTTAAAAAATACAACGGGTGTTTCTAAAATTACATTTATATACAAGTGTGAGTGAAATTTATCTATGATAAAATTGCAAAAAACTTATTTTATCATCCCATTAATTAAGTCCCACTCACCCAAAATAAAAAAGACAAACCATCCATCAATGGCCAAAAGAAATTCTAATAACAGACAAGAATTTGGTCCACTGAGACCCTCGAAAATGACAACCAAAACGACATCTACCACAAGGCCAGAGGGCCCTACAAAACCAAACCCAAATGCAATCCAAATTCACAGCCCCAAATGAAACCCAAATGCAGTCCTAAGTAATCCCCAACCGGTAGTGACATATCAGCATATGTAGCAACCTCTGAACCACAAGTTTCGATACGCTCTTTGCCACGTGTCACGGTCGCAGCCCTTCAAAAAACCTCTCAGTTGAAGCACGTGAGACCACATGGGGGTCCCACGGACACCCCCAGCCCCTAACTCAACATCTTTCCCTCTCTCTGCTTCCTCGATCTGCACTAGTGTGGGAAAGCTGTTCTTGGTTTTACTGTGTGCGTGGAGGAAGAAGTTATGTAGGAGCGTTTTGCATTGCATTTGGCCTTGATGAAAGAGAGTTCAAGCTTGTACGGTGACGTTTTAGGATAATCTGTACGTGAAATCGGCGATGTTTGGGTCAATTTACGAGCGATACGTGGTGGAATTGAGCTTTGGTTTGGAGGTCTTTTTTGGGTTTTTTAGCGATGTTTGATTGGAACGACGAAGAGGTAAGCGAGTTTTAATTGTTGTGTTGTTTTCTTTTGCTGATGACTTTCTGTTTGGTTTCTGAGAAAAAGAAAGAAAGAAAAGAGAAGAGAAATTTGAATTCTATTGTTGTTTAGCTTGGGTTTTTCCTGATAGGAAGTGGAATAAGATCGCATGAACAAGTCAATTAGTCTCTTCAGGATGCATGTGAGTTTTTTGTTTGTTAAAAGAATTTCAGTTTTCTTTGGTTTTATTTTGTTTTCTTGATGACCAAATTTTTCTATGTTTTATTCTGCCACATATTCTATTTCTTGGAACAGTTTCCTGTAGTTGTAGATTTCATTTGATTTGTAATATATTAGATGTTATTAGGTTGGAAAAGGCACAGCTTGCAACATAAATTTTGGCTATCGGCTCATTTGGTAAATTTTTAAAAAATCACAAACAATGATCACGGTTTAAGGTTTTTTTATTTGTTTTTTGAATTTTAATTTCTCCGCTAGTTGGGCGACAAATTAAATTAAATAACCAAAGAGGTAATATGAATTTTTTTTTATAGCTTAATTAACGGATAAATTATTATTCTTTTGCTGAATGCCCTGATTATGTTGGTTACTGTTGAAAAAATGGGATGCAAGAAATAAAGTGAATGGCCGGGTGAGGCACGGATTAGGTTACTCTCTTGAGACGATTCGAGCCCCTTGATAAAAAAATCACAGCGTAGAAGGTAACAATGCGTCGTCTCTAAGATACAACAACCTAGCCTATTGAATATTGCTTCAATCGAATCTGCATAATCAAATAAAGCAGAAACTTCACATGACACATTTTTATATTGCCCAGAAACTTCTATAGCAGAGAGATAGTTGATTGCTGAAATATATATATACACACACAGATAGTATAGGTGGTTACTATTATGTAAATACTCCTATATTTAATCAAATAATATTTTAAATAATGACTGTTGGAATACTAGTCGTTGGAGTTTTTGGTTTTTTGTCAACTGAAATTTTAATATAGAAGTAATGACGAAAAATAATTAAATAAAATATTAAAAAGTGGGTTTAATACTAGGTAATAATATATTCCATTAAGGCGCGCCAGGGTGACCCACTACCCGAGTTGTGGTTCGTAGATTTTAGAAATCTATATCTACTCTGCTAGTCCTACCCTTGTGCACGTGAGAGTCCAGAGGTCTCACTTTAACTCAAATGTTAGACAACATTAGTATATATATATATATATATATATATATATATATATATTGAGGTTACGTAGATCCATATCACACACATGATATTCAAGGTATCCTAAATCAAGCTTAAAAAATCAGCACTTTTTTGGCCTTGTGCTTTATCCTAGTTTCTTGATTGCTTTAGAGAATTAGCCTCAATTCTCATAGGAAATGACCCATCTTCCACACCCATATTGGTGAGTCTATCAAGAATGTTTTTGTAACTAAGACATCCCACCCAAAAAGGGCTATAGAACTTATTAATAGATATTGATCTCAACCTCCAAATTTTTGTTACGAGATCACATGTATTTTACACCATTGTGATGGACAATGAATATAAAATTTCAACAATGATATAAATTTTATTGGTATATGTTCCACAAATCAAGTCACTCTATGATTCGTTTGTTCCATTAACCTAGTTCTTGGGATCTCTAGTCCTTAGGTTGGGTATCCTCATATGTAACTTAATCGAATTTGGGCTCGAGTCCAATTACCCTTGATGTACTCCAAATCTTTTCTCTAGCTAGAGCTTTTGTTAACGGATCGATAAGATTGTCCTTCAATTTCACATAATCAAACATTGATCGCACCATTATTCAGGTATGATCTCACAGTACTGTACTTTTTTCTCCCAAGTCTGGATTTTCCATTATAGTACTTATTATGTACTCTACTTATTGCGGCATTGCTGTCACAATGGATTAACACGGGTGACACTAGTTTAGCCCACAAAGGTATATTAAACAATAAATCACAAAGTCACCCAGCTTTCTCACTAGCTGAAACTAGAACAATCAACTCAGCTTCCATTGTTGACTTTGCACTAATTTTTTGCTTCTTTGATTTCTAACTTATGGGTCCACCACCTAAAGTAAAACATAACCAGTAGTGGACATAGAATCACCCGATTGGGTTTTCCAATTTGCATCACAGTAACCTTCAAGGACAACAGAATAATTTTTATGAAATAAAGCAGCATGTATAGTTCTTTTTAGATATCTCATAAGACGATATATTGCATTCCAATTATCCATATTAGGTCTACTAGTAAATCTACCAAGTACACCTACTGCTTAGGCAATATTCGGTTTAGTACAATCAGTGGCATATCTAAGAACTACCAATTACACTTGCATACTCTATTAGATTAATTACATCATTATTTTTTTCTGTTGGAAATAAATGAATGCTTGAATCAAAAAGTGTGCATGCATGTTTACAATAAAAAAGTTATATATTCTCAAAACTTTTTCTATGTAATAATATTGATCAAGCATAATTTCATCAACACTCTTTGTGATTTTTATGTCAAGAATCACATTTGCTGGACCCAAGTCTTTTATGTCAAAATTTCTGTTTAGTAAAGCCTTGGTAGTCTCAATCACATATAAACTAGTGCCAAATATCAAAAGGTCATCTACAAATAAACAAACAATAATATGTTCACAATTTTCAGATTTTAAGTAAATGCATTTGTCACTTTCATTAGCCTTAAACCCATTAGCTAAAACACACTAATCAAATTTTTCATGCTATTGCTTGAACACCTATTTAAGGCCATATAAAGATCTAATTAATTTAAAAATTTTATTTTCATGACCTTGTTGAATAAACCCTTCTGATTGGTCTATATAAATTTCTTCCTCTAGATCACCATTCAAAAAAGCTATTTATACATCTATTTGATATATTTCTAAATTATGTATAGTAATTATAGATATTAACAATCTTATGGATGTAATTCTAGAGATTGGAGAAAACGTATCAAATAAATCTAAATCTTCTTTTTGTTTAAAACCTTTAGCTACCAACCTTGCCTTATACTTATTTATCGTTCCATCATATTTGAGCTTTCTCTTTAACACCCATTTGCAACCTATAGTTTTACAACCAGGAGGTAAATCTACCAATCTCTATGTTTTGTTTGTTATGAGTGAATCATATTCATTATTTATAGATTCTTTCCATAAGTCTGAATCAGGATATGTTAAGGCTTCTTGTAAGTTGGTTGGATCCCCTTCAATATTATAAGCAATGTACTCTAGACCAAAATCTTTTTCTACTCTACTCTTTTTACTCCTCGTAGGTTCATATTCTTTTTGTTTAATATTATCGATCAACGATGAACTAGGAATATCACTAGACGTTGACATATTATCATCACCCCTACTATTTTTATATTTAAAAGGAAATTTATATTCATAAAATATAGCATCTAGTGATTCAGTTACCACATTATTCTTTAGGTCTAAAAATCTATATGCTTTACTAGCTAGTGCATACCCAATGAATACACCTCTAGTTGCACTTATTTCAAAATTAGGAATTTTAAGATCAGTCATCCTAACATAAGCTAAACAGTCCCAAACTGTAATGTAATTCAAGTTGGGCTTTCTTTTTCTGCACATTTCATATGGAGTAGATAGATTTTGTTTATGAGGAACTCTATTCATAACATAATTTCCAGGTAAAACTACTTTTCCCCAAAAAAATCTTAAGTGCACCAGAACTAACTAACATAGCATTGGTTAAGTTGATCAAAGTTCTATTTTTACATTCAGCTACACCATTAGATTGAGGAGAATGTGGTGGTGTAGTTTCATGAACTATTCCTAAAGACTGTATTTGTTTAATTAATTCTAGTGATTCATACTCTCTCATCTATCATTTCTAAATCGTTTAATTTTTCTGTCAAAATAATTTTCTACTTTAATAAAAATGGTGAATTTTTCGAAAGTATCACTTTTATTTTTCATAAGATAAACATAAGTGTATTTTAAAAAGTCATAAATGAAAGTTGTAAAGTATCTTTTTCTACCACGAGTCAAAATTCTTCAAATTCACATATATCCATATGTATCAATTCTAATAGTTTAAAATTTCTTTCTCCTTTGATATGGGGTTGTTTTGTTATTTTTGTCATACTACAATATTCACATTTTTCAAAATTATTGTGTAACTTAGGCACTAAACCTACATGGCTCATATTTTTCAAATATTTGTTATTAACGTGACAAAGACAAGTATGCCACATATTCACACAAGAAACAATGTAAACAGAAGAAGTAGTTTTATTCATTTCAACATTCAGCTTAAATATTCCATCACAAGCATAACTTTTACCAACAAATGACCTATTTTTGGTCAAAACAAACTGATCCGATTCTATGGTTTGTTTGAAACCAACCTTATATACCAAAAAAAATCAGAAATCAAATTCTTTCTGATTTCAGGAGTGTGAAGAACATCTTAGGGTCAAAACTCGGCTAGAAGTAAATATGAGTTAGACATCTCCCATGCTCAAAGCACTTACAGTATGTGAATCACCAAGCAACACCTTTTTATCATTTTCAATGGGAGAGAAAGACTTGAAACAAGATTTATCATGACAGACATGCCTGGAAGCTCCAGAATCTGAACACCACTTTTAACTATTTTCAATTAAATTAACCTCAGTAATCATGGCCACAAGTGGTTCCTTAGTCACATTAGCTTGAAGAGCATAACCACGTTGTTTTAAAACGACAAT